AGTGGTTATTGAATGGAACTGCCCTGCAGATAATATCACCTGTGAATACAGAATATAAATATGTAGGATGCTTATAATAATACCAGAACTGAGAGCAAACCAAGACTTATCGTACATGAGATATAGAACGTAATTTAAAAACATGTTTTCCTTGCAAGCAGGAGCACTCAGAGTGCAGATGTGGGGTTAAAGCAGCCCCTTTTAGTCAACTACAAGTCATGGTTAGAAGCAGCAGGCAGTTTTATATGTAGAAAAGTAGGCACGAGGCAAATCTGGCCTTTTAACAGTAACAGATGGAAGTGGAAGGACAAAAGAAAAAAAAATCAAAGAGAAAACCCCAAAAAGTGAAATGAATTTTTAAAAAGAGAGATAAAAACACCATGTTGTCAAGCAGTGGTGATTTTGAAGCTTGGTTTTTAAACTCTGACTTGAATATTTTGACTGTCATCATCTTAATTTTTTGAACATACAAAGAGCGGCTCTGAAACCAGACACATCGCACACTTGTGGCTTGGCAGAGCTCTACATTAAAGCATATTCTACTTTCGGATTTACTCACAACAGGACCATATTTACAAAATAAACATGTCAATTTTTTGGAAACCAGAGGAGTCGCCCCCTGCTGGCAGTGGGGGGAAAAATTATTGTTTACGGTACTTCTGAATTAGCTTCACTTTTGAGACTCAGACGCTAGAGCCACCTATTATATACAGTTTACTGTAGAAACTGAATGTTTTGGTTCCAAGTAGTATTATATCAAATTAACAGAAAATCTATCTGAAAAGACATTCTGTGAATTCCATCCAGATCACTCAATGAAAGGACCTATTTTCCAGCCTTAGAGGAAGAATTAAATAAATGAAAGCACCTTTAGATGTCCCAGTTATTAATCAATAATAACTAATACCATCAGGCAGGCATATAATTTATCACAAATTAACTCAAAAACAAGGAGTGCAGCAAAAACTATATCTCACTGTCTTATTGCCTGTGAGAAGAGACGGTGAAATAGACCCACAGACGCCTTATCTTAACATTATTAAGTCAGTTTTGGATTACATGAAGATACAAAAGACCCTGGCATGACTAAATCCACATGAGAACTCTGGAGAGGTGTTTACCTGCCAAGTGGCTGACCTTTAATAGCTGTGCACAAGAAAACTGGTGTTCACACCAACATTTGCTTCAAAATCTAGCATCCACCCATGTGAAAGTGTCTGTTTATATGTGACTTGTTCTTACCAATATCATAAGCCAGAAAGTCTGCAGAAAAACACTTGGCTCCGTTGCTCAGAGATGTGTCATTGTGAGTGTTTCCACCAAAAACCAGCATCGTGCCACTCAGCAGCACCGCCGAGTGGAGGTACCGTGCCAAACCGCTCTCCTTGAGGATTAACCTGCGTGCACACACAAACACACACCCACGCAGAGTTGGGTTAATCAGCAATGTGAGGCACGTCAGGAAAGCATCAATTTGTCAGCTATGCGTGTGTCTGCGTGACATGTGTGTCCATGGATGCATGTACTGCAACTGATGGCGTCTCTCAGGTTGTGACCTGGCCTGTGGTGACTGCCCTTCATACCAACTGTTCTTTCACAGGAGCAACACACACACACACACACCTGACATTGTAGGGGGTCTCAGTCTGTGGTGTCCAATCTCTCTGAGGTCAAAGGTTGTAAAGTAGAGAACAACTGCAGTGTCTATCTGTGGCTTAATTTACTGCAGCAATGCTGACTTTCTGCCCTGCCTTCAACTGATTTAAATCTTCTCATACTGAAACTAGACCCACTACTTCATGAGAGACTTTTTATATGTACGAGCAGCATCGCTATCTCTATTGTGAAAAGGCAACGAGTACTCAGAACATACTTTAAATATGGCATTGAAACAGCGACCTGGAATGGAAGTCATATTTATTGATTCTAAAATATTGACCAAAAAAACAAAAACAAAACAAAAACAAAACAGACATCTACTTCTAAGAGCTTGAAATATCTTTATATTAAAAACATTTTTATCAAACAAAAAATACGTGTGTAATTTAACAAATCCAATTAAGGTCACATTGCTAATAAATGTAAATATATAAACTTTTTTCTTCTAAAAAAGGAGAGCTGATCAGGAGTCCACACCATTACAAGGTTATAAAAATGTAAAATCAAGCATAATGAATATAGAAAAAGCCAACAATCAAGCAAAGTATAATAAACACAAAACCAAATACTAGGTTTTGGAATAGTTACCAAACTCTTTAGGATATTTTTTAGAGGCTTCTACACTCCCAGGGATGCAAAAATCATGTTTTTTCAAGGTTATTCAATCGACCAGGGTGAAAAATAGGGGAAGGCAGTTCTCCAGGTTTGAGCAAATGCTGGGTTACCTGTAGAGCAGCAATCTACAGGGAGCAAACACGAGAAAAGATGGGAAAAAAAGCTACTGTAGAGCTGTACAGAAGCAAAATGTGCCGTCGTCCAACAGTTTGGAATAGGGGTTAAACTGGCCAGTATATGTGACAAATTTAATGGCTACAAAACAGTTGGAAACCACTAACATATAGATGTCACGTAGAAAAGATTGTCATGCCTGTCAGAAGCTTTACACTGACAGAGGCCAGATGATCTTTACATTGGTAGGGAGAAGTATAAATCACTGGAACACCCAGGGATGTGTCAGTCTGGGAATTTCATCAGTCCAAGAGCTCAAGTGACACTCGACTCCAACAACACATTCCAGCTGGAAAGTGAGAGGCACAGAGAGATTGCATGCACATGTGAGCATTTGTTAATGTATGCCTACTTGTGTGTCCACTGTGCGCATGTATATTAAAAGATGTTAAGAGCACGATAGAGCCCAGCATCCACTTTCACCAATCCATCTGTCAGAGTTCATCTGAGGTCAAAGCTCCTGGCAGATCCTTGCATTCTCACTCCAGGCTCCTCTTTCTGACAGGAACTTGGTGATTTTCCTTCCTCAGAAGGAGTTTGTGTATATTTAAAGTGATTACACAGAACTATTAATATTATCACATTAACTAGTTATTAACTTTTTATGCAGACTCTCTTTTATCTTCTAAGACATGAGGCTACAATAAATTATCATATTTTCACTACTATTATTAAGAACTCTTATTAAACATGTTTTTTATTATATGGTGAAACATTTCTTTATTAAGCTGTGATGTAAACAGTACAATATCTTTATAATAACAAGCTTATTTGCAAACGCACCGCTGTCGCACTCACAAATTTATCTTGGTCTGTGTAACAAAGTTGCTAAATTCAATGATTTCAGCCTCAACGTTTAACAAAGGTAAATAGGAAAATATCAAAGGTAAATACACCCATTGTGAAGAACTGTTCCTCAAGGGATACTCTTGTTTCTGGCGCATTATGATTTTGCATAAATTTCTGTTATGAAAATCTCTCCTTCATGCAAGTCCTCTAAAGGCTGCAAGAATGCATGAATAATGTCTAAAAGGCAACAGGGTGGAAGTAATGTTTTAATCATCGCAGAGTGACTAATGACATCAGCTGTCAGGAAAAGCAGCAGGGTTAAAAAGAACAAAATCGTTATCTGTAATGTAAAGAAGAACATTTTAATGGAAACACCTGCAGCTTTAAAACTGCAGTACGTGAACAGGCCGGGGACACGAGCTGACCAACATCTACTTTTGGTAAATTGCATGTGAATCAAAACACGATT